GGACGCGCTCAGTCATTCAGGCAGTCTCTCTCTCTCTCTCTCTCTTTCTCTTTCTCGCTTGCGCGCGCTGTTTAGGCATGTTTTGTGCTGTTGATGGTCGTCGGAAAATAATGTGTTTTTTTAACCTTAAACCGCATAAACACATTTCATTACACCAAATACACAAAATAATGTTTTTTTTAGCAACATCATATGACCCCTTTAAAATAATATATTATATAATAATTAAAGGTGCCAAAACTTTAACAGAATCATTCAGGCCCTAATATATTATAAAATAGCCTAGCCTACTACTACTAGGCCTACTATAAATATTATATATACTGTACAAATAATACAATAATATACAAATTACTATTACTATAATATTACAATATATACAAATAAATACTAAACATACAAATTACAGCAGAACAGAATAGAACAAAATATAATAAATTTTCTTTAGCTTATTTTCTGAAAGCTACATGGGCAATCAAATTAGAGGAAACTGTAGGCTACTTTGACTACAGAATATAGCTAGTTTTTAAATACCTATAAAACATAACAGGTTGCAATTGATTTATTAACATATTCATTTTAAAAATTCTTACCAATGCTCAGTCTAGTACAGTAGACTACTGGATTAGAAATGTAGTGTGACTGTCAGACAACACGTTGTCCCAATTAACTCAAGAACATTAAGATAAATAGGCTCCAGATAAAAAAGTAATATAACAGTAACAAACATACATTGCTCTCGTGATTTTTTATTTTATTTTATTTTACTTTACTTTAAAGCAAAGCGACCAGTGTCTGGTACATGGTCTTATTTCCTTTAGCCTATATCTAGGCCTACGTCTGGGACATATTATAGCCATGGACTAACCCTCAGCTGGAACAGAGTTAATTTAATTTAGCTTGTGGTTTGTATATTCTATATTGTTTAAACTTATATGACAGATATTGGTTTTAGACTGTCTGACATTTAGGCTACATGAACAAAAAATAAGCATGGATCATTCAGTATTAGGTATAACGGCAAACAGAATGAAATGGTTTTACCTTGCAGCCTTTAGGCCCCCCTGTAAACTGTCCGATTTCCTTGTCTTCCATTTAAATAATTTGAGCGTTCCTTTGCCGCGGTCATCTTTCTCCACGGACTCTTTGAGATTTGCTTCACTTTTAGAAAACAAACTCCTCAAAGATTTTTTGGTGGAAAAACTCTTTTTCGCCATGGCGAAACTTCTGAACGATCACTGCAGATCCACGCGAATTACTTTAGTAAAAGTTTATTACGATGTCGAGGCACGTTGAAGAACCTACTGCTCTATAGTAGTAGCCTACACAGTCAAACCTTACGCTCTCTCACGAACAGATGCTCTGGCTGTGCATGTCAAAGCTAGTGAGCCACCTACCGAGTGTTTTTGTATAGGTGCGCTCGAACTCAGCGACTGCGCGCACCCATGATTTCCATAAATTCAAGATGCAGTTCTCTTATGAAACACAGCTATAGACTCTACTTCTTTAGTGTTAGGGTTACTGACTCATCCAAGTGAATCGAATCTTTTGAATCAGATTAGTATAATTCGATCAGCGACCATTTGTGCAGGTTATGTGCGAGTAAATGAATCATCATCCTAAACTGAGGCTATACATTTTCTTCCATTCTGATCAACTGATCAAGTTGGCAACAAATAACAGCCTAAATAAATTAAGCGTTTCAATAACGTTATTTCATTGTCACCAGTAGCCTAATCTCCACAGTACGAAAATGATTAGTTTATTATTATTATTATTATTATTATTATTATTAGGCTATTATTATTATAGCTCTTTGCGAACGAATTTGCGAAAGAAACACTAAAAGGCAGTGGCGGAGCCAGGATGTTTTGGGTGGCCAGGGAGGGGCCAGAAACCAGTCTGGGGTGGCACAGAAATCTTAATTATTTCAATATAACACACGTTAACATACGCACTCATGTTGTTAGCACTACTCTGGCGATTTTATCAATAACGTTACCATAGTTTAGCAACTTAAAAACTACATGACTTCTCACAAGCAATGTAACAACAACGGTGCTGTTCGTGAAGAAAATTAACTAAGTTTCACTATAATCAGTGGCGGAGCCAGGATGTTTTCATAGGGGTGGCCAGCAACCAGTCTGGGGTGGCAAAGAAATATTCATTATTTCAATATAAAAATGTGATTGACTATAAAGTATTGGACTGTTAGTGCCTAAAACACAACTGAATACAATTAATTTCTACTAAATTGTATTTGAGATATTTGTGAATTAGATCAAGTAATGCTGAGTGAATATGACAATTTGTGTATTATTCCTCACCTCCAGGTATTTTAATAAAGGGTCTCACTATAGGTTTATTGCTTAGTCAGCTTGGTTCTGGCTCTCAAAACCCCCAAAAGCTTGTTCTCCATCGCATACTCATTGATGAGACATGCAGATAGTGATAAGAATTTAAATTGTGAGGTGAAATGACAAAATAGTCATTTGGTGGGAGTATAACTGCCATACATGTTGTTTCTGTTATTTAACATGTTTTGTTAAATTTGTTTAATCTATTCATGAATATTGAGCGTTTGTAACTAGGAACTAAAGTACAATTGCGTTACACACGGACACTTTTTTATGGTGCAACAGAGAAAAAGGACATACATTTTGGTGAAAAGGTATTCTCCGTGTGTGAATATAAGAGTTACTCGTGTTTTGAGCAAAGAAGTAAAGAAGATGTTTTCGTTTTTTGTTTGAATCGGGTATTTTCAAGTGAACTCATTCTCTCTTGGTTATATGCAGCCAGCGAGGTATGTGTATTACGTTTGTATTTCCCGAGTGTATTTGTATTTACTTCTTTAAGGTTTATGTGAACGTGTTTCTTTTACATTGTCATACTGTAGTTTGACGGTGGAATTCATTGATGATGAGTGAGATGGCGAAGATAAGGATGACAAGCGAAATAAATCCATCGGTAACCAGAACCACGGTCTCGTTTATTTCCTGGAGGGAGTGATAGTCAAACTCGAACTGCGTCAATGTTCCCGAACCTGCTTGCGCCCAGCCCGGACCTGCTGTGTCATAACTCGGCAAGATGGGATGTAACGTTATACAGATAAGCCCACGTTTACCATTAAGGATCTTCAGTTCATCAGTGTTTCATTAAGACGTTCATAAGTCAGACACTTAAGCTTGTGTTCTGAAAAGTGACAATAAGTTTGAACACTATAAGGGACTGTGTGTAACCTTAATAATTTATTGATATAGTCTATCCATAAAGATAAAAAATATTTAAAAAAAAAAAAAAAAAAAAAAGGGACGGAAGTCAACAGCACATAAACGCAAGAATGTAAAATGAGTTATTTTATGCATTTAAATGGTTTTATTTTCGTTTGTACTTTACAAAATAAAAATAGCGCATGTTTTCTAGTATACACTGTGTTCATATTTACTTGTGCATTAAATTACACAAAAAAAAAACAGCTTGCGCCTTATTGTGTAGGCCTATATTGTATATTGTGATCTCGAATTGTACAATATTTTAGTACATGCATTTGAGAGACGTTCTTTAATGTGATGCTATACATAAATTAATGCACTAATCACCTTTTTTGGTAATTTCATGACTTAACTGACAACAGAACTACATTGTATGCTCATAGATTATTGCAGGCATTATTTATGATGAAGCGATATAGAGCGTGCGCCTTATAATCGCGTAAAGTTGAAGAGTGTGCCCCATGAGCACAGTAAAACAGCTGTCAGGAGAGGAAAGTTTGTTTTACTGACATATAGAAAACAACATCTCATCAGACCTCAGTTCACGGTTGTTCTACTGAAGCTCATTTGACACATGTTCCGTAATTTCCGCGCTCGTTTGACTTGCGCCTGGCGCTGAGGCGAAGTTGAAGTACGCGTCTGAAAAGTCTCCCGTTTGATGTGCTCATAAAGAGATACGGCGGTTCCGCGTATTAATAAATGCATTTCTTGTCAAAAAAGGGACAAAACTGCAGTTTTGAGTGGGGTGGCCAAGCTTAGGTCCCGCCCCTGCTAAAAGGACAATTATGACATGAAAAGTTTTCAGCTGATTTTCAAAATCCATAGGCTAGCCTACTCTAAGGTAAATCTGAATAAAGCATTATGTGTAAAATTCACGCATAGGCCTACTGGGTCAGCTAGAAGTATATCGAGTCGGTGTTGCAGTGCCTATACGAATGAGCAAATTTCGGTAAAAAAAGCCTATTACCATCGCCAGCATGGATTACATGACTGACAGGTAAACACAGACGCAATAAAGACATCGAATGGGCGATAATGTAAATAGAGGATTTGGTTAATTTCAGTGAAGCTCAGATAACCGATCTGTAACATTAGCGTACAATGTCGGTTAGTTGTATAAATATGTAGTTATTTTATCACTGTAACGTCTGATTCAAGAGGAGATACTAAATACTGGTTATACTATTCTAGCTTTGTTATATTTTATGTAGGTTGAATTCAGGTAAAGTGGACCGTTTAAGCTTGATTGTAACCTACTGTGCTCAATTGTTTTACACTTTCAGAGCACAACAATGGTTTTTAATTAAAGGGACACCATTTCTTTAAAACATTTTTTAATGTAAGGTTGCTCACTAAATCTAAACAATTTTTATAGTGACATGCCCTATTTTGTTTGATACTGCAGGGAATCAAATGCAAAGAATACATTTAAAAAATAGTTTTACATATGGTTGCCATTTTAAACGTTCCTCTTAACACATTTTTGTTAGCCTATTTGTTGTTGCTTGTGTTATAGTTACATTTTTATTTATATGCTGTAGAGTTCATTCTCATCAATATTCTAAATAATATTCTGATAATTTAATGTCAGCACAACATGTTCTATCAGTTGTTTTGAATTTTACACATGAATTGAGTGAATTTTACTCAGCATACTCTATTTGTTTTTTTTTGGGTTTGTTAGCCTAAATATGTTGTTGAATATGTTTGTATAATAATATGTGTTAATAAATAATGTGTTTTAATTAAGATAAAAGATCATTTTTGATAAATCAGGGATGGCCTACTTTACCTGAAAATGAATTTGTCTGGAGTGCATGATCACAAAAAGTTTACTGGTATACCTTGCAAACAACACATTATATGAACTGTATTCAAATCGAAATATTATAACTGGACCTTAAAGTTAACAAAAGTTAAAGATAAGAAAAGGAAATAAATAAATAATAAAAAAAAAACATCTAGGTATCTAAATGATAAGTTTTACAAAAATTGGCCCACTTTAACAAAATTCAAGTTATTTTGTTGTTACTTTTCTTGTACAGAACTTTGGGATACACTAGCTGTAGGCCTATTAGAAACGTGCTCTATAAATAAATGTGACCTTGACCTTGACTATTCAGCTACTGTCCCTCAGTACTACTATTTACGCTACTGTAAAATCTTTCTTTAGTTTTATTCTTTTGGACAACTATCAAAACGTTTGTTACTAGTGTCTGCTATAGTTCTATGTAGTCTATGACTCAAACGTGTACAGCAGCAGTGCCTTTCTAAGCAACACTTTGAAAAACAAGTGTGTTGTGGCCATATTTGAAAATATAACAGAAATAGGCCTAATTATTCAAACAAATATAACCGCACCTATTACTGGTACCTGTGCTTCTTTTCCCACAAGAAGTAATTACATTTATTGGTCAGTAGATGGCGCCACTGAACAATATTTTTTTTAGTATGCCCATACGCACAATTGAAGAGGTAACCACTTAATATAAATATATATATATATATATATATTTTTTTTTTGTAGTATTATTGTTTTTTATAAAAACAAATTTGAATCAATCTTAAGCGTTGAATAGTGACAGATAATATTTGATCAGATTGCAGAATAGACATTTGTACAAAAGAAATAAGGCTAAAATGTAAGGTTATTTTGAATCCAACATGCGACTAATGAGGTCATGTGAAGTTCAATGCCGTTTGAAACATTTATCGTTGCATACTGTATGCAGGGTGCGAATTACGGTGTGTGTGTGGGGGGGTCTGGTCCCCCTAAAGAAGGCTTGACCCCCCCTGATGGACGTCAAAACTAGATGTAGGGGGGGTCAGATAGAAAGACGGCTAGCCTACGCGTAATATGGAGATTTACTTGTAAATATGAATACGCATAATATGGAGATTTACTTGTAAATATTAATATGCATTTCTATAGACCTGGCTGATTTTAAAATATCATTTTGGCAGCCCCTGAAATGGGGCGTATTGACAGTACCTGAGCGGTTGAAGAATAGGCTCATTCAAAGACGTGCATTTATTGCTTGGACGGAGCAAGAACACCTAAAATGCATGTGTAGATTCAGTCGAGTGATAAAGTGTACCCTCTTCAACTTAATGCTGTTGAACTGAATTTATGGAGCAAACTATTTGCTAAAATAACCATAACATTTACAGCACCGCTGGCTGAAATAAGCGTGCGGTTCTGTCCATCAGATGCGCGTGAAAGCTGCATGTGTTACTATAACAAACACTGCGTGTTTTCTTTCAGAATCATCATTGGCTGGTAGAAATACAAAAATAGGTTACATAACAGTTTTTGCGTAAAAATGAAGATAAGGTAAAGGTGTGAATAATTACATTTTAGACACATTGTCAGTAATTTCACCAATGAAAATAAAGCCCTAGGAGAACTGTTGTGCATCTTTGATCAACACAGAGCGGTGTTTCATTAATGAATCCACGTTTTTAAACGAATCGAGTGAATCAATGAAGTGAACCATTCATAAAGGCGGCCACTTGCTTCGTTTCTGAATGAATCAGCTGTTTGAACGAATCGATTGATTGAATGACTCACTGACTTAAGACAGGTATTTGCCACCACCTACTGGCGCTTTTAGTTGTATATAGAGTAGGCTATCATTAAAAAAATAATTATAATAATAATAATAATTCACTATTTATTTGTATTTTTGTATGTTGAATTAAAATATTTCTATCTAAAGCTACTTATATTTCAGCTACTTTTCTGTAATGTCTATTCAGTGTTTTTTTTTTCTAAATGAACACAATGATAACTATTATCTTTAATAATAACTTTATCTTTAATCGACACATGATGTGAATGTTAATTAATTAATCTCATTAATTTGAGATTAATTTGATTAATTGGTACATTAAGTAATTAATTAGATTTTTTTTAAATAATCACTTGACAGCCCTATTTAAAACATAAAAAAATACCCCCAAAACTGAAAATAAATTCTGAAATAAATTCTATAGTAGGCTACTGACAGGGCTTGTTTGTAGAATAACGCCTATCGATCTGAACCACAAAAGAAGAACATTTAAACAACAATAATGTTGAAAAATTAACTAGTTAAATGATAATAACTGCAAGTCCACCCGAATTAGGTATTGCTCTGACTAGAAGCATCATAATAACCTATACATTCAGACTGAGGTGAAATCAAAGCAACGCTCTCATGCCAAGTCAAAGTTGAACGAGTTTGATAAAGATTGTAATATCAAGGAAGGAAGTTGCTCTAAATTAACTTTGATTTGCCACAAGAGGCGCTGCTTTGAGTCTAAATGTATTATTTCAGATGGACACTTTTCCTCTACGGCACTCACTTGATAAGTATTGTAAGTCTGTCTAAAATGCTAAAAGTAGAAATAAACACTTGATGTGTTTAAATATGAGTCGTGTTTTTCAGTAGATCATATGCTATAGTTCACTCCATCATCATCTGCTCATGCTTCTGTCACTTGAAACTCTCATGACTTTGAGATATGATGGAAAATGCCCTGCTCTTTTCCATTCAACAAAGTGCATTGTGATCACTGGCTGTTAAACTCAATTACAAAAACAAAAAACAAAACAAGTTATTTTTTTAAATGATATAATTTAAATAAATAAATAAATACATACATACATTTCTATTTTCTAAAACATTTTAGCACATAGTAGGTAAAACTATCCTGTATCTAGGACATGACGTGAGCCAGGACTACCACTGGCACCCCTCAAAAAACAGGTGCATGATGCCCCGAAACAGAAATGGAAATTGAAAATGGCTTGATTGGTACTGTCATACTTGCAATCAGTTACTATTTTTTTCTTGCCCTGTTCATATGAGAAAAGAGCATGCTGCTTCCTATTTTACTGTTGTGTCACTCAGACTTCAGTCAGAAAAGCCCATGTTTTCGTCAAGGTCCATTAAAAAATCAATTCTAAATAGTAAATGACACGGCCAGTTGAGAAACATGACATGACTGTTGTGCCAGTTAGTCACGAGAATTTGATTGGCAAAAGGAGTGTATGAACATTTGAACTAGTTGATGACTAATCAACTGTTTGCAACCGATGTTGCCCATTTGACATGCCAGGGGATGTCCAGACCTTTAAAAAAATAAAGATAAAATAAATGTCATGCAGGCATGCTTATTGTTTCATGGTCCATTTATTAAAAATTCCTGGTCACACCACAGATTACTAACATTACCATCATAATTTCTAAAGATGAAGGCAGCTGTATTAAAAGCGTACACAGATACACAGAAATGTTTGTTATGTGGAAGTCTTGTTACAAGGTAAAACTCTTTCTCTGGAAAAAAAGGAGGGGCATATGTGAATTTTTGTTTTTGTTTGTGTATGCCTGGTCTGGGAGTCGTAGCCAGTCTTCATAGGATCAGCCGTTTTGGCCACTGTGAATGAGATTTATGCTAGTTTTGATGAGATGCAACAGTCAGAAGGTGCTGCTGATCAAGTGCCACTTGCAATACTTGAAATAAAAATAAATAAATGAAATAAAATAAAAAAACATTAAAGTGAATTTAAATTTAAAAATAAAATAAATTTAGATAAATAAAATAATATACAAATGTTAATGGGATACATTTAAATTGAGCAAATGTGCTTTATTGTTCTATAAAGTGCAAGTTTTTTTTTTTTTTACATAGTGGCAAGGAAAATGTGATTGTGAAAGTACCCACTCACACTTGTTGAAGTACTTTGCTGTTTTGCATGCTGAGGAAGAATAGAAACAGAAAAAAACATTTGTAGTTGTAGAGGTGAGGCATCAAACTGAAATACACCAGGACGATAAATTACGGCACAACAATTCTTGATCTTGTTTGTGCATTTGAGTGCGTCCAGTTGTACAAAGCTGATCAGATTACACAGAAAGAAACAAATCCTTGTACTACCTAAAAGAAAAAGAAAGTAGAAAGGTCAGTTATGCTGATTGCCTGTCAGTCATTCCACCCTTTTAATGTTGCTGTAAACAAAACAGGTTAGGCAGACAATCCATGCACAGTCATCTGGAAGTAAACCTGTAGTCTTTTTGGTGCAAATTAGGTGTGAAACATTTCTAGTGAAAATTTTTGTTGAAATCTATGACAAGGAACGTGTGACCATATGAAATATTTACAGTGAAATTCTGGTTCCCTTTCAAGGGGCAAGGCAAATAAGGGGGTGACATCTAGTGGATTAGACTAGCAATAAGATTAACGTAAATCTTATGTTCAATGTTTGCGGAAATAAATATTGAAAAAAATCGATTTGTGGCCTTTGAGAATCGATATTGAATCGACCACATTTTAAAAAACGATATATCGAAAAATCGATTTTTTTGCCCAGCCCTAATTTATACTATAGTCGCACCGGTAGTGATGTCATGGGCTGTCGCCGGCCAACGTGTTGTTGGTGTTTTTTCAATGTATGCTTCAGACACGGGTCACGACTAGGCGTTCCCCATAGCAACCCCTAGAGGACGCAGTGCTCAGTGCTCAGGGAACCATGGTTACATAAGTAACCGGAGACGTTTTATCTCAGCCATACAGTTGATTTAGTTAGAAGTGAGGCACATTATCTAACGTGTCATCAGCTTTTTACTGTGCAACTGTGACTTTTAATCATGCTTGGGTTTTTGAGTCAGAGCTGAAGAAGAAAAAGCGAAAATGCATTAAAGCATTAAACTGGCTGTTGACTAGATTACATGCAATATTTACGTTTATTCATGGCAACAGTCTCTCCTGCCTTTTGGACACTCACCCACACATGTATTAGTAATTTGACCTGCTAGTTTCTGTCTTTTTTATCTTTTGTCTTACCTTTTTTTTGGGGGGTGGGGGGATGATATCAGACATTAGATGTGTAACATGTGTAGCTATATTTAAATACACAAAGTGGGGGATCAGGGTGTTAAAATGTATTAAAATGTGCAAATATTGAAACCAAATCAAATACTGTCTTTAAGAAAGTTGGAAGCCTTTTAAAAAAATAAATAAATTTGTTAACATGTTAATTATACAAACTGAAATGTTAATAAATAATTAAATAAATAGATGTAGAAAATAACATTAACTTAGATTAATAAATACTTTGAAAGTATGGTTCATTGTTAGTTAATGATAGCCAATGCATTTACTAATATTTACATTAACAAATTGAATCTTATTGTAAAATATTACCAAGTAATGTATTAAAATTTCCACTGGATTGCTCTTAAAAGGCGCCCAAGGATGTAAGATCTGACAGAGCAGGATTTCTGTCGCCTTGGTCCTGTGTGATAAATAATCATTGAATGTTGCTTTTCCAGACCTGTTGGGTTCGCTGGAAAAGATGGTGCCAGTTGTACTTTCAATTTTCTTGTAGTCACAGATACATAATGACTGCAGTTCAAAGTGATTTATGGATAAGACAAGAAAGAAGTCAAATGGAAAGCAGCCAATTTGGCCAATAGCCCGTGAATGTTGTCTTTAGTATTCAAATTACACACAAGTCTTTCTGTAAGAGCTCAGGGCAGTTAATTACATTAATATAGCATAATAACATCAAACGAATGTGTAAAATCAATTTTTAACACAATATTCATTTTTTTAGGTGGACTATTCCTTGAAGGCTTGTAGTAGGTCAACTACGAAACCAGTTATCTTTGATGTGCTTTTTAAAATTGTTTCGCCCCAATTGAAACATATTACATTTTAAAACCTTTCCACATGTTAGCAATCATACATCACATTCCTTTACCTAATAAGCACAGGATTAAAGCCATGTTAACATTAATTAAATGGAAAAAAACTGATTGATTTCTAAGTTTCATATACATTTTCCCTTAGAATTAAAAAGATAGGATTTGCTTTAAACCCAGTTCCACTTAGAAATTGCTAGGAAATTTCACAAAGAATTACAAAGAAACTGCAAGTAAAACATTGAATTAAATTTGAATTTTTTTTTTAAAGTAGAAAGACTGAAATGGTGTAAAATGTTGTCGAATAATCTCTAACTTTACTTTACAGTGTACTCAATACACTTATCAACTAATTCTTGAACAAAATGAACAAAATTAATATAAATATTGCATGCCATCAAGGTTATGTACATTCTTGAGATAACAACCCTATGTTTTATGCATTTAAACTACTTTTGGCCCAGTGCTGCACTGGCCACTGTTGACAGGAACTAAGCTTCTGGGTTTCAGAGAATGACTTACTAGCAATTACTGAATGCATGAAGTTTTAAGTCTGTACAGGAAGGCAATGCAAATACTCTGAACATGTCACACACACACACACACACACACACACACACACACACACACTACTCATGTGTCATGTAATTTACAGCAAGTCAAGTTCCACTCTTTCTTTCTCTGTGGTGTGTTTTCACATGCTTCTCTCTGTTTCTTTCTTTTCTGCCATAAAAGGGCCTCTTGCAACTTCTCCTAAGATGTATTCAAAGTGGTGGTTTGACATGCTGTCAATGACAGATGTAGTCTCTCTCACTTGTTGTCTGTCGTTCTCTCACACATACCCTGCTGAGGTGTGTTTGTTCTGGTCTGAGGTGTGTGTGTGGCGTGGGACTCTCCCTTCATGTGTGCACCCTTGAGGGGAGAAGAGGGGAGGCTGTGACAAAAGGAAACAGATAAGCGTTGTACTCAGAGGGGACAGAGAAGATGTGAGGCATTACTTACTGTAACTGCTTTGTCTTCCGTTCCTGACATTTATGTTGATCATACCACAGTTTTACCTGCTGATAGAGACTAGAAGAGCGGTTTAGTAAAAGTACAGGTCAGCATTGTGTGGGAATGGTGACTGAGCGTGACAAACTGCCAGATAAGTTACTCAAATCAGTGCTTTGCTTCATATTAACCTCCAGTTTCACAAATAGTAGAACTATGTTAATTTTACATAGTTATATAACTGAAAGCTCGTCTGAACACAACTGTATAGTTCAACAAAATTTGTTTTGTTTTATTGGAGCGGGGCGAACCAGCATTTAGGTGCTTCAGAAAGTCAAAATTTAACTTGAACTGATGTCAAAGTTTCTTCAGCAATTAAACATGAGTTATTATCATCTTTTATTATATAATAGCTAAGATGAGTTCATTTGAAACCAAAACTATGTTTTTACTGTAAATTCCACTATAAGTAAGAGTAGGTAAAGGTTGAAGGTGGTTTTATTTATTTTTTTCATGTCAAAATGAAAAATAGTGTTGCATGTGATAGTAGACATTTTTGATCAGTCCTAGCTGATGAGCAACAATTTCAGTTCCTCTACTTTCTAGAAATACGACCACAGAGATCAACTTTTGTGTGGGACTTTCAAATGAATAAGCCTGATGGGTGTTGTATGAGTGTGTGGGTGACATAGTAAAGTCATTAACAGCATAAGACAGAAAGAGTGAGGTCTTAGACAAGTAATGTTTAATGTGCTACATTATAAAAGTTTGTCAAAAATAGGTTCTCACATATAAAGTATCAACATCTTTTGGACTGAGTCAAAAAATAAACTAGGATAACAAAAGAAACACAAAGTCACTGTACAAAAGTCACTAAGTAATGGAACCGTCTTGTTTCTAAACCTGGCTGTAGCTAACAATCAAATATCCTGCACTTGGATCTAGTTCCTGCTTTTTCCTGTGCTGATATCAAATAAATTAAAAAAGCATAAAATATGAACCTGACCATTTAACTTTTTAGTATGAGGTACTGTTGTGTCTGTAGTTCTGTAGTCTATAAAAAAGTATTGCAATCTTCATGATTGGCAAATTCAGTTCCAGCTACATTGATTTGATCATTTTCATAGTGCTAACAATACTTGTTTGGATTAAAGAGACAACAGTAAACATTGGTAGACACAACCAAGTAACAATATAACTAAGAAAACAAAGAATTTTTCTCTTATTTTAAATATTAAATTAAAACTGAGGCATGTTCTCTTTCCAATGTCAAAGGGGTTCAGGACTTGAAAAACCAAACATTTTCTTCTGCCATATTATCATTACAAGCTACAGTGAATCATCTCTTGAAAAGATGCTGACAGTACATTTTTTATAGCTTTTCATAAAGGATTAAATCCAGAATTTTTTAACACCAGGTAAAATCATACACACATACTCATACACATACACATTCGCATCCACAATGAATAGAATGGACGGGAAAATCCAGTCCTTTTGGGACTGTCACATAGTGTCCATAGTGGGATTAACACATTATTCCTGAGAATCCCAGTATTTTTTTTTTAAGAATTAAAGAAGTTAAAAAAACATAAAAAAGAGAAGGACACATATAAACAAGTATTAAAACATTTGATACAGTGCTCAAATAAGAAAAAACAACAACAACAATAAGTTAAGACAAACTCACACAAATAGACTTTCACATGGGTTTGAAAACCAGCTGAAGTATGAGGACATTATAATCACATCTTCATTCTATAACAGGTCAGAGGGTAGAAGTGCAATCACTTGACATAATCTTCAAGTCTTTGGAAACACTATTTGTTTGGTGCGGCTTTAATTGACTTGGTTTACGCATCTTCTCTCTGATTTATCCCTCGAACTACTAGGGAAGAGAGGATTTTTGGTGTCAACTAGGGAATACTCTGTGCATAGATAGCAATTTTTTGGGTTTCTGGTAGACCTGAACAAGCTATATGTCATCCTTTCAACATTTTCCCTCATCTAATCCTCCTCAGTCTTTATAGAGGGCCGGTGGTTGAAGTGTACCACGCTGGCTCTCTCTTGGTGATGACCCATGGCGGTTACCCCATGAGGTACTACAGCAAAAGCCTTGAGGAATCCAACATCCTCCTTCCCCTCACCGCTCTCCAAACTTATAGCCAACCATTTTTCCAAGGCAGCATCCACCTGAGCCTCTCCAGCACTCTCAGGCAGTGCCTCAGCCTCCTGACTGGCATCAAAGCGCTCTACCATCTCTGCTGCTTGCCTCAGCTCTGGGATTTCAGGACGGGCAGCGGGGCAGAAGCTGGAGCGCTGATGGAGGTTCAGAGAGAAGCGATGGATGAAGCCCCTAGTGCAGGCTTGGCAGGAGTGGGGTCGGTCACGGGAGCTGTGCAGCCGACGGTGGAGTTTGAGGTGAATGTACTGGGTAAACTTCACCCCACACAGCTTACACTGATATGGCTTCTCCCCAGAGTGCAGGCGTAGGTGGGTTTTCAAGTTGCTGGTGCTGCTGAAGCGTTTGTGGCACACCTGTAGACATTCAAAGAGAACATTAAAAGATCCTGTAATTCAAAAGCAAACAAGAGGCAGCAGACAAGAACAGAAGGCAACCTCTCTGCTGCCTTACATAATTGCCTTGTTGTTGCTTTGGTATGTAGACAGTGAGCCAGTCGTGTTTTTTCACTAAAGGACTGTATTTATTTTCGGTGGTCAAGATGAATGAGTAGCACAGGCTGACGCCACTGTCACACCCTCTCTAGTTGCTGTACAACAAAGCGTTTCTCTTAAAGGAAACAGGAGAGACAAGGTAAAGGTTCTGTCAGAGATAAGCAATGTTGTGTGTGCGTCATCGAAAATAATGTTCTTTTTAGCAGCATCATATGACCCCTTTAACAGAGTATAACTGTCATCTGATGCCCTTTATCTTGATTTTCTTTCACAGCATATACACTCACCTGGCACTCATGTGGTTTCTCGCCTGTGTGGACCAAGTGATGTTTCTGTAGGTGGGCTAGTTGGGTGAAACTCTTTTTGCACAAGTTGCACTGGAATGGCCTCTCTCCACTGTGGACCCTCAAGTGCACCTTTAAAATGAACATACACTCTTTAGTCTTACTCAGTTCCATATCTTTCAAAAACAAGACTCTAAATCAAGTACATTCTACTCACTTTGAGGTTGGACAGCTGACTGAAGGTCTTGAGACAGATGTTGCATTCATACTTGATTTTGCCATTCTGCTTCTTGAGTGGGTACGGGAGAGACTTGTACCCAGGTGCTGGTGGAGAGGACGAGGATGAAGGTGATATGCTTTTGGGTGTAGCCAGGCTGAGGTTGATGGCTTCTTCATATTCAGAGAGAGGCTTCTGGAACATTTGCTGAGGGGATTGCTTTGGCTGAGGTGAGAGTTCGGGTGTTGCAGGGGCTCCTCGGGGTGGAGTATTTGGGATTCTTTCCTTCAGACCTCCATGAAGTGGGGCAGGATAGGGCAGTGTAACTGGTAACAGACCTGGTTGGGGTATGGAAGGGTAGGGCAAGCCATTACTACCCAGGAGTCCGTTGTACCGGAGACCCCCTTTTGAGGGCAACATGGAAGGGAAGGGAGGGGAGTATGGAGGCAACAGCAGACGTGAATAATGAGAACTGTATGGTGGTAATAAGGGATATGGAGCTTGCAGGGGTCTAGGTGAGGGCAATGAAGGGTATGAGATCAGACCTTCTCGATGACCATAGAGGCCGTGTAAGTGGAGTGGAAGGTCTTGCGGTGGGGACAGGGTGGGATATGGGTGAATTCTTATGTTCATCTCTTTCTGGTTGGGATGTGGAGAATAGACAGGCTCTGGCGAAGCAGCTTTGTGGATCTTTTTGCTGAAATCCACCACCTGTTCATCCGGTGTGTCAGGTGGCGTGTCCCTCTCAATAACCTCTACATCGATCTTTTCGTCCACTTCATCTTCCTGTCCCTCACTTTGAAGTTTGTGTGGGCTTTGGGGATGTTTAGGGTAGTAGGTGTACAGAGGTAGGGGCTGCTTCTGATACTCAAAATCAGGTATGTACTCTGGAGAATGAGAGAGAAAAAAAAGGTCACACAGTGCAAGTTGTAGTGTGAATACTGACAGACAGCAGAGGTGAGAATCCAAGTATGAAACTGGTGTGGGAAGTCTTGTTTGAGACTTGACCCATTTCACATTCAACAAATCTTCTGTCGCTGAAATTGACCAAGCAGGTCAAAGTCTTTGCAGAGCAACATCGGTCACCCATCGAACAGGCCTGTATGCCTGTATGTGATACACCTACTCATAACCATCCTCCTCAAATGCTCACTTATGGTAAATGGCAGCTCTTTCAGTTTAAAGCTGACAGGCAGAAGATATCTGACTGGTTTCTTTTTGACAAAGAGATAGTTCTGCTTTCACGTAGCACCTAGATTACAACCGTGTGGGTGTTCGCAGTGTGGGTGTGTGTATGTTTGTGAGGTGGAGGGGCATATGTATGTGTCGGAAGAAAGGAGCCTCGTGTGACGCCAATAGTTCTCACTCAGAAACTACTCTGACTCACTATAACAGCAGATGTCCTCAACCATGGGAAAAATCCTACAATACCACTTTAGCACTAACTGTTACTTACTGTTATAAAGGAAATCGAGATAAGGTCAAATTATTACTGTCCTTTCACTCTAGAGATTGTAAAAACAAAGCCACAACAGCTAGCTTCTTTCAGTAACCTTTGTGGTGACTCAGACAAAACATGCTAAATCATGGAGAGTAGTACAAGGCTCATCTGTGCCACACAGCAATGGGAAGATTACACAAACACATTATAACCCTTGTGGTCAAAGCTTGGTTCCTCAAACCTGATGTAAACCAATCTGGTGCAACATTTACAGGCATCGTCTAGGTATTTCCTAACTACCGCGAGGAAAGTGAAAATGGGTATTTGAAACTCTGAAGAGCACAACAGCACAAAGCAAAATGCAACTTACAAACATTAATACAAATTCTAAAATCTAAACAATGGAGGAACACAGATGAACAGAATCAACAGACATTTACTATGTTTTATGTTAGACTAAGTATCAGCAGATCTGTTCTAAGAAATTAATCTATATTTATGCCAAAGTCCATAAAAAATTCAAATGATGTAATATTACGCTTTCTAAAACTGAATATACAGATTTCTTTAAACCTCACACAGGAAGTAAAACTTGTTAACGCAGACTGAATGATATAAATTGAAAAAAGCGGCTCTGAAAAGGCTAATGTGCTTCACAGTGTCTGACTTTCTAATGAGGGATATTTAATAATCAGGTGTAATTGTTCAGTGAAAGCATCACCAGTGAGAGGAGCATACGTGTCAACATGACTCAGGTAATGGTCCTTAACAACAGCACACAAAATGAACACATAGACATACATACATTCCGAGGAGTGAATGAGAATAATATATGCCAGTGTGAGATTGAATCAATGTGACATAAGGAGTATCGCATGACATCTCCTTAGATAGAAAATCCAGAGAGTCCATCGTTTTGTCATAAACATACACACGCTTACTCACTCTTACGGATCATACACATTCATAAACAGTTTCATTTACAGCCACTTTCATTGCTTACTACCTCTAGAGTTTCAAATGACATTTAAAGAATCAAAATTCATTATCATATCGTGTGTGTGTAGTGTTATATTATATATTAGATCAAACTAATGTAACATCATTTTTTTTAGAACAGACTTATCAACGAATAAAAGCCTGGTACCACCTTAACTGTGTGATGAATGTTGCTATTGGTGGCATAATATCATAATGGTCAAACCTATATAAGACACTGCCACAAAAAAAATAAAAATAAACATCCTCCCTGAATATCAGCATAAATAATGTACACAGAAGAACTGAGGGTGCCCATTTAATTGCTGATCTTTTAGAATAAAGGCATTAAAAAAGTCACCTGATTCAGAAATAGACGAAAAGACAGAGACCAGGCACAGTATAAACATTATCTTGGGTGAGTGCACAGGAGGGGCAATATACAAAGATAACTCAGGTGACTAATAATTCCATAGTTTCAAGAAAGCCAGAGAGAAAGCAATAAAGAAATAAAATGAAAAGGAAAAAACTATCTACATAAAAACCAACATTTTATCTAGTTTTTCCCTCCCTAGTGCCAAATAATGTGGGATAATTCCAGAGCCCATGACTCACTTGGCTTCAGACTGTCTGGTTGCTCTTGCTGGCCGCACAGTCTCTGGGAGAACTCCGGACTGTACCACACCAACAGCTCCTGCTTGGGCTCCACGGGCTGGATGGTGTAGAAGAAGATCTCCTGGTTATTTTGACAGGCCACCAGGTTCTGTTCGGCCAGCGATCGTGCTGGGTTGACGTACCGCATCCAGTTGCTGCGGTGGACATCGTAGCCATCAATGAAGTGGTGTAGGTGTCCACCACTGTAGATCTGGATGGAGAGAAAGGAAATCACGTTAATGCTTCACGCTAGTCTGCAATGTCAACAATGCCATCATAATTAAACATTACAATTTTAAAATTTGATCTTTTAAAAAATAAAAATTAACACATTATACAAACAACACATTATGCATTGATTTCAGTGACAATCTGTAAATAAGTTTTAAAAAAAAGTTGTTACAAATGATTCTTCACCTCTGCCATGAACAGAACGCTCTTCAGACAGCTGTTTATATCAACTCCTCTGTGTCTTCTAACCTGTGAAAGTGTGTGTGTGTGTGTGTGTGTGTGGCTTGTCCCGCAGAAAATGTGTGACTAACTTTGTGTGTCAATGATGTCAAGCTCTTTATAAAGCGCTGGGCGTCAAAACGATCTACACATGCTGCCAGTCACACGCGCTTCTCCTCCCCTGTCTCCACCCACTTTTATTCTAATTTGTAAATGGGGGAATTCACTGCTGAGATGTGCCAGGGCATGTTAAGTCCCCTATCGCAGACACTCCTTTTAGCAGTTACACCCTTGAAGACTCATAAACACAAACACACTTTCACCCACACGAACAGCCTGCTCTTCACATCCGTCCACCTGCCTTTGGTCACGTGACATGCTGTGTCATTTCATTGCTTTATGGCAACAGGAAGTCAGTATGGATTTACAGGAAATGGAGAAAAGAAAAGGACAGCTCAGACTAGGAAAACCCACGGTGACACACACGAATGTCAAACACACTCGTGCCTGCATGCATGTATGCCCTCACACGAGCACAGCCACACATATAAACACAAACAAACACACAGATATATCTAGTGCCCTTGGCAGGGAGCTAAAGAGACTGAAGTTCACTTGCATGCTGATATGACAACAGAAATGTAAGGACTAAAAAGAAAGTGATTGTGTGTGTGTGTGCATCTGCCACTCAGTCTCTGTGCAGGAATCCCGACTTCTCTAAAACCTGGCCACAAACCAAAGACTTGCGCTATTCTTTGCGTTTTTGTCAAATGGTTTCGAAATAGCTATACTTGGTAACTTCTGCTGAGTAAACCATTGTATGAGAACAAAGCAGGAATCTACAACAAACAGGATAAGATCTCTCAGAGCTTCCTCTGTGTTTTCCAAGTAAGCCCTTGAGTGTTCAGCAAACTAAGCCTAATAGGAATAACTACTCTTAGTGCATGTGTGCATCTGAACTTAAGCGAGTATTTGAAAAAGACAATCATGTTGAAGAAACCAAAGCATATTTGGATGTATTTGAGCATGAATGAATACGCTTCCGGCTCCTTTCAGCTAAAATTCTCTGGAAAGTCAGTCATGACAGGTTTGGCAGCTTTTCACTCAGTAGAATCGGTGAAAGATTAGATCAACAATGAAGTCACTTACCCTCCAAAAATATTTCCTGTTGGTCTGAAGGGGCACATTTTCTTTGGTGTGAATAACTCCTTGAAGAGGTCCGAATCGTGTACCTTGAGGTATGTACTCTTTGCTAAAAACGCCAGTCACCTGCAAGAATGAAGAGTGGCACTTGTGAACCAACTTATTCAGGAAGGAATAAAAATAAATGATTATTGATCTATTCACTTTGAACAGGAAATTGCATTGCATGATTTCAATGAGGCGTGCTTGGTTGGTAAGAGTCTTTGGTGACCTAAGGTAGCACACTATCCTCGCAGGTTAATGAGTTAAGTAAATAAATAGACTTATACTTTCCCTGCTCTACTTGGACCCTAACCTAGAAACATACAGCTGTCCTCAATAACGCCTGACCCATTTGACCCTGCTGGCAAAAGTTGTGTAGTATTGACAATCAATCCTGTCTGAGGTCCTAAAAAGACAAAAAAAAGGAAAGCAGAGGGAAAATAGAAGACAAAATGGAGCAGGTGGTCCACTCTCAATGCTCTGTAGAAACCAGAAAGTAGGCTTGTAAATAGGTCACACTGTGGCGTGGGGATCAGTTGCCCCCTTTATATCATCAAGCCACTCCTGCACTTCTTTAACTCTTATGATAAGTTTACATGCATCAATTTTAGATGAAAAGTCCACTTAAAGCATAGTTATGATGGTTGAAACTAGATTTGAGGCAATAGGAAGGAATGATGTATTCCAAGAAGCACCAACAGGAAGGATAGTTTGGGGGGCACAGTTATTGGCTGGAGACGAAAGCTGTGGCGACAGTAGAATTGTGCATCGTTAGTGTTGCGTGACTAATTGGTAGGTCTTTAGTGATTAACTGCTCAGAGAGGGCTTAGGGAGTAAGAGGAAGGGGGTAGGAGAGTGAGTGTCAGACCAACGGCACCACGCCACCCCAACGCACACGCTGAAGCACTCAACCCTCCATCCAAACATGATTCCCCCACCCCAAGCTGTCCAAGGATCTTCGGTCCAAACAAAAGTTAATCAGTCAAGCTTAACCTACTTCCTTTGGCTGAGATTCTGCAAGTGTGTGCGTTTGCGTGTTTGTGTCCTTCCCGACCCTGGCATAGATCACCCCATCTGCCACGTGCCCCCCTTAGTTAGGCACACTTCTCAAGCTAAGGGTCAGGGAGCATTGTTTATACGCCCCCTTTGATGCATGACTGTGTAAATTTGTGCCTTTGCCCGCTAACACCGTCTAAAAACTTCTATCTTGTTAGTTCCAATTTAGTTTTCAGTTTGAAATAAAAGGAAAATGTAAAGAAAAGTATCAGTGTTTAATGCTCATTGTATCAGCATCTGCTAGCAGTGCTGCTAGCTGCTAAAATCAGATAGCAGTCGAGAGATAACAGTCACTTTCTGTTCTCTCCCACAAAACGTGCAGTCGTAACGCACTAACAACACATTAAAGCAGCAAAACGCAGACTTTCACAAATACAAAAACTTTGGAATGTGTGCGTATGCATCACCGAAACCATCTAGCGGATGACTAGCAGCCTGGTCACCATGCTAACGCCATTGACAACATAAGAGCAATGCTTTTGACAGAATCAGCAGAGACAAGAGGAATAGCATGCACAGAAATGGGAAGTGTGTAATGGCTCTCGAAGTATTTGTAAATTTCAACTAGTGCGAGTACAGAGATCTGCTGTTAGTAAAAGTTTTTTTTTTTAAATATGTGTCTGACAGCGATTCTAGTTGTGCCTCAATCTATCATGACAGGAAATATGTTGTTGTATCGTTGTTTTTATCTCCATGCTTAAAAAAGGAGAGTCAGCGTGGGAAAAGATGAGAATGAGAATATAAACCAAAGACATAAAAGAGTTTGTGAAAGAAAAGGGGAAGAGCAAGAAACAATTTAGTGCAGACCAAATGAGAATAAAAAAAGAATAAACTATATATACACACACACACACACAAACACACATATATATTCACTGTATGGAGTACAGCAGCGTGAACATTTTACAAAACCTCTCCTTCAGTGTTTGACGGAAGAAAGAAAATCAGTAAGTAACAGAATTGTAATATCTGGCTAACCTTGAGGTCTTAACACAAGCTGAAAAATGTTAACACATTTTTCTGTCTTAGCACATTTTGTTGAGATAGACCAGAATATGTACATGTGTGCGTATGCATCCTCCCTGAGCTGATGACCACAATTTCACACCTTTAAAAAGAGCAGGGGCAATAGAAAGAGGAACTGACTTTCACCTGCGAAGGAGGGAAATTGGATCATGCAGAAGACAAACAGAGCAGTGACAAAATGCATGAAGACGCAAAAGAAACCATAGCAAAGGTGTGAAGAATGACACAGTCAAATGTGTTTAAACAAGAAAGAGATAGAGATAAGGACAATGATCAAAAAACAGAAATAGAGAATTTTTAATAATGCAGCCATGGTAAAATTTTATTGACAGCACTGCAGTAATCTTATTTTAATACTAAATTTACGAAGTTTGTTAAATACGCCACAGTTAAAGGTAAGTAAGACACAGTCACAAAATAAACCCAACAAAATATTCAGGTATCATCCTAAAGGAGTTTATTGTGAAATTTGACTGGTTAAAATAACCGTTAATGAAAAATAAGTCTGATATTTTTTATGAAAGATATATTGATTTGAGTTGAGAAGAAGGTTTAAATTAAAAGTATAGTGTGGATGCCAAGGACAATGGTGAAATACACAGTCATTCAACTGCAAAATGCCTCCACTGACCAATCAGTATCAAATATTACAGAAAGCGATGTAATATAACCTTCTGAGACGCACATCAACAAAAAACAAATGGATAGCCAATGTGAAAGCTCATTGAAAGCAGAGTGAGTGTGTGAATGTCAGGTAGAGAAAGAGTTAATGTGATTAAGCTGTTACCTCATAGGTCCTCTACCTGCCTGATCCCTGACCTGCCAATGGCTGTCATCGTCACACTGACCTACTGAACCACACCTCGCAGGGCCCTCATACAGTGCGAAACGATGTCAAGAAGTATCTGATACTTTGAATTGAACAATCCCTTTTCATGGAACTTTATTTTTATACATCTAAAGGGTTACGGCTTAATGGTTAGGTATCTAGGCTCAGACAGAGGTGAACCTGAGGAACTGAAACACCCTCATATGTTTGCAACAAAACAGTATCAGAAATTACTTTGTGTTTTTTTTCTGACAAGACAATACCAATTCAGTAGCACCTATGCACTATCTGAATCTGTTTTGTAAGTATCTGCTCCAGGAAAGCATATAAAGTGAAAGCAGTGTTGCACAAGCTGCTTTAGGCAACAAGTGTTTATTAAATGATGAGTAATCAAAAGTCTGTTGAAAAAGGAATTGGGAATGTACTGTAGTGTACACAGCTAAAGCTGCAGGCTATTGTACCTGGTTGTCAGCGCTGTACTGGAAGGTGAGGTTCCGTGGAATGGAGGTCATGGCTTTGGGAAGGCTGAAGCTGGGTTCGGATGCCTGGTCTTGGACGGTGTAGGTGCAGTTCAGTGCAAAGTCTACCTCCCTCCACTCGCTCATGTCCTCTAGAGATGCCTCCAACTTCATTTTCTCTCTTTCCCTTTTCAGTTGCTTCTCTGCGGTATATTTTTTGTAGATTTTCTTGTATAAGCTGTTTGGTATATTCTCCTTTGGTTTGTGTTGCTTTGGTTCTCTGTTGGAGATGTCCTCCTTTTGCTTTATTTGTTAGTTAAAGATCTAAAGAAAACCCAAAAGATGCATTTAGACATACACATTTCCTTTCAGGTTCATGAATGAGAATAAATGAGACATCACAGATGTAGTAGTATGATGCCAAATGTGATAACCCTGACTTTTATGAGAAATGTACTGTATTCTTTTACGAGTGTAGTCACAACTAGTCACTGACATATAACATTTAGCGCTATTGTGTCTGTAGGCCAGAACTAGGAGTATTTTTTAAGCTTTGTACAGGTAATTATTTCATATTCATTGGTGATCTCACTTTGACTAAATCAGATTTTTTTTTCTTTCTATGAATGAAATAAATAATAATAAAAAAAATGTTCCAAACTCACTTCACATTCATTCAGCTGTTGCATCCTCAATATCTTTGGTTAGGTCATCTCTGCTTTCCTGTTGCCCAGTCACTCTGTCATCTTGTTTGATTTCTCTCCAGTTTCCATAAATTCCAAAGAATCTTCCAACAGCAATTCCCCTCTGATATTTCAAACTCTCTTGTCCGTTGCCTACTGTTACTCAGACTGTCCACGCTGAGCTGTGTCAGACTTTTGAGTTGCAAAGACTAACCAATCAGCATCTGGCTTTAATCATGTGACCGCCAGGATTAGTCAAAGGTGATACAATTGGGACACTGGAAGTGTTTCGGACACAGCAAGCCCAAACGTACACATCAACACCTTCAGCAGACAAAGGATTGTCTTGGACAATCAGAATGCAGTTGGACAACTGAGTAAAAACAGATGGTTGGATCACTGAAAACACACCAATGGACTTTTGCTTGGATGGACTCTTAATGAGCAATCTGGTCCCAACCCAATTAGACCCCCCTCCCTTCAAACACACACATGCTACAAGCACCTCTGTGACCTAGATCTAGACCTGGCCTGGTGTGTGATACTCTGTTGTGGCCAGTAGTGTAAGAGATGGAGACAGGAAACAAAGCAAGTCAAACTGAGGAGCTTCTCAGACACCTGTCTGAAGGGTTTCATCACTCTGTCAGGATGCCACATGCAACAATTCTGAAACAGAAACCTCGGTCCAGTCTAAACTCATCAGTTCTGACCTGGAACGTTCGGTCCATGTAAATTCATCAGGCCTAATATGAAGACTCATGAGCATCGGTCAGCAGCGGTCTAAAAAAAAAAAAGAGAACTCAAACAGCATGAAAAGAGTTACAGTCCAAGAATGAGCCTGTTTTTTAAATAAAAATTCTAATAATTCATTAATTAAATATGAAGAAAAAATGATTTGCTGTCTTGTTTTCAAATACAAATATCTAAACATTCTTACAGTCTAGATACATTTACTTGAGAAGTCTTGAAAATGAATCAAAATTATATGAGTTTTTTTGCTTAAAACAAGAAAAAAAATCTGCCAATGAAATGAGAAAAATAAACTTTGAATCAAGTTTTCTCTCCAGTTTCCATAAATTCCAAAGAATCTTCCAACAGCAATTCCCCTCTGATATTTCAAACTCTCTTGTCCGTTGCCTGTCACAAAAAATCTGCCAATGAAATGAGAAAAATAAACTTTGAATCAAGTTTTTTAAACTCCACTGGCAGTAAAAAAAAAACAATGAATTTTCAGTAAACACTTAATATCTTAAGTCATTTTGCTAAAATGTAAATGTATCTTGTTTTAAGAATGTTTAGATATTTATACGAAATATAATATAATCGCGATACATATTGATATTGAATTATTGTCCAGCCCTAAATATAATTGTGCACTACTTCTAATTTCTTCTCAAATCATGCTGTAGAGCATAATCATCACTCAAACAGTAATGGTGATAATATCATTTAAAATAAAATAAAAAAATTTTTGGACACCACTGTAACTGAATAAAATGTGGTATGGAGTGGCATTCAGCAGAACTTTTGGGGTGGGTGGGGATGTAAATATTTGCATGCTATGAATTCACGCTTCAGAACGAAGTTAAAGAATCTCTTCATGTTAGGAATGTTTGTGGAAATTCTCTTCCTCGTGTTTCACCACCTAATATAGAACTTGGATTGTTACTGAACTTCTGCCCATAAAAAGTAAGATTACTTATGTCAATCATCATATTCACCTTAAAAAAATGCTCTTCTATGACTACAGAAATAATTGAAACTGTTCATCACACATTAATAACTTGACTTCAGGCAAACAATTTCCTACAGTCTACGTAATACTGGAAAGGACATTTTACATTTAAACCAATATTAAACATTGACCATCTCTACCATGTTGATTAACACCAACTGCATTTAAATGTCGTATCTCAGAGTGTCCATTTTACTCGTGTTCCCTCATGGAGTGAAACAGTCAGTAAATTGGCTGCCATATGGCTCTTGTGGCCATTTTCGAGACGCATGTGGGCCGCATGGCGTAAGTGTGCCTCTCTTTTCACTGGGCTAATTTCTCTAATTTGCAGACAGTCTGGGCTGAGGCTCAGCCCGGCGCGGCGTGAGCAGAGCTGATCATCCAGGGCGTCACTCTATTTGCACTTTTACAGGGGAGGGTTGACCCCACCGGGGGAGCGTCAGGTTTTGGGGGGGGGGGGTGAAAAGCAAGGGGACAGTCAAAAGAGAGAACCAGTGACATGGGCTATACAACCTGTGCGTAGTAATATACCTTAACACATTACACTGCTTTGACGGCCAGTTTATGTCACAGATATGTGAGGTCTCGCATATTTAAGATTCATGCACAATACGGTAATTGAAAGCAGCATGTGTGACGTTCGAGACAACACCCAGTATGCTAACGGAGGAGTTGAAGTATGCGGTATGTGGTATTAACAAGGTGACAAAACAGATTCCTTTAGTTGTGCAATGGCCAACTGTTCATATAAATGATGACACATGGTTTTATTCGATAAAAGAGAAATCAATGTTAGAAACTGAATCCCCATCAAGAGGCTAAAAAGTTTGCGGATTCTCTCTGTGTCAAGCGTTAAACTAAGTATTAGTTTGTAATGCCTGTAAAACTGAATAATGTGAAGCGGCATACATCCATTAATTCTGATTACATCTGGTTCTATGAACTGTGAGTCAGCATTTTCAATTCTGAACAAATCAAGTCATTCAGCGTTCACCAGTCCACTTTCTTTGCTCCACCAGGGTGAAAATTCACAATAATTTCCAGACAAGGAAAGACTCGTTTTTTGACTCATTGGGTGGGTTACTGTACAATTCTTTCTTTTCTTTTTTTCAGTTTTAAGTGCATTTCTTACACAAAATGGCAGGTTTTAGAATATCTTTTAAATGTTATTTTATTTTACATTCTTTTATTTGTCCATATTACTGGAATGTACGCCTTTGTGCTGATTAATGAACTAAATAATAAACTGAGTATAGAAAATAAAGTGATTTCAGTCTTGATGAAATCTTCTGACAAACTTCATAATGGTAACCACCTCAAATCCCACACTGAATCCTTCAGAGCAAGTTCAAGGCCAAAAACAGCTCACAGATGTTTCAACTTCCTAGAAACTGACCTCCAGCTTGAAAACAGTGTAAACAACCAGGAGAAGAGCTTATCAGAATCAAACAAATAATATGAAGACAGAAGTGGCATAACAGAACAAACGCTGAAGAACGTTTGATTAAAAGAAAAGGAAATTCCTTCTGATAGTAAAGCATGATACTAAGATTTTTTGAATTTATATATATATATATATATATATATACAGCAGTTATTTGTGCATCATGGTATGTGCTTATGACCTAGTCACACGTCAGAGATCACATTCAATGCACGAGGCTCAAAAAGCCACAAGAGTCACAGGTAGACCCCTCAATTAAAAAATAGCTGTAGGTGCCCAATATACAATAACTAAAAATAATTCTGAAAAACGACCAAAAGTAAAACATGTCACCCTTTTCTATGTTTTCCCATCTGCTCCTCAGAAGTAAACAGACCGTATTCCTCAAGGGAGATGGATTAATATCTGTTTGTGTATTGTTCTCTGCTTTACAACTATTACAAACCCTGTTGCCTCCCTGGCAACAACCCCACCCACTGCACACACTGTCGGCCAGTGGTTTCACAGCCAGCGGATGGTGTGTCAACGCGCCATTTAACCACTTTGTTTACGGTCTTTGCTCGGCTTAAGGCGAACGCACATTCTCCTAAACACAGATTATCTGCTTCCTCGGACCCTAAACATTATTCACTCTCATCGCCAAAATCGCTTGGGATTTTTCATTTCATTTTCTGGTCTGTTTAGGCTGTTGTTTTTCCCATGTGATGTTGACATGTTTTGAGGAAGTTCCCCTCCTTGTGAGGAAAGAGAAGATGAGAAGGCTGCAGTAAATATGACTCTGACATAATCGAGAGGAGAGCAGTGACCGAAGCGACATACTAACATGCACCGACATGTAGTTCAGTTAGATTGTGTAAAGCAAACCAAAATGAAAAGCAGTTTTAATATTATGATCATTATTATTGCATGGTTATTCAAGGCCTACTTACTCAATGGTGTCACAGTCATGCTGAACTGACTAGTTATCATGTGCTATGGTGTAAAAGTACTTTGTGGGATAAATGAATGCTGTCATGAGGATTGTTTTACCAATGCATATGATTATTATAATTCTAGACCAAAACAACTTCCTCTTCTATGGTTTTTATATGGATGAAAGGAAAGACATGCACTATATATCTCACTTGAATCTCATCAAAGGCAAAGAAATTCAATTATCAAATGCTGTTTGGGTTTCTAGCAATTCATCATGCACACATCTCAGAAGCTGAGGGGAACGAAAAAACACGTTCTTAAAGGGACATTTTACACAAAACATGCATGACTTCCTTCTTTCTTCTGTGGAACACAAAGAGTTTTCTTTTAGTTGCCAATGCAACAATTCTTATTTTCTTTCAGTTTAACTCGATGTAATAACTAAAAGGAAATAAAAATGTATATAAACTAAATTGACACATTTAAAAAACAAAATTGCTAAAACTTTAACTTAAATGAAAATTAAAATACCAAATCTAAAAATAAAAACTAATTCAAAATATAAATAACAACAATAGCACCTCAATAATACTAAAATAACGCTTTGGACCTCAGTGTTCCTCAAAATGCTTTCTTCTGTGTTCTGGAGAAGAAAGAAAGTCATACAGGTTTAGAACGACATGAATAGTAATATGTAACAGTAAATGATAACAGAATTGTCAGTTTAGGGTGAACTATTCCTTTTTATCTTTTCATTATCCGAGCAGTCTGCGTGTCAACCATTGGAAATGGTGTCTTTTTTCTCAAGGGCTGGCAAACAAACACCCGCAACACCATTGATGCATCTTTTGAGCCAAAACCTCCATCTGTTTCATGATTGGCATCATGTGCTGGAAATGGTTTTCCTGTTCCTGATCTCTTCCTTTATTCTTTGTTCTAATATCATTTTCTTAAGTCTCTGAGACCCCTTCACCGGTACAGCTCAGTCTGAGTGCCACGAAGGGAAGCAAGGCACAGGCTTATCTGAATGGAGGAGAATATAGTGACGTAAAATGAAGGAAACATCTGGAGAAGAGGAAAAACAGCAGCTACATGGAACACATAACACACCTCATTCATCAAAGTGGATTAAACTGCCACTAAGCAGATGCGACAGAGGGATATAAATCACAAACACGCAGCTTAAGCACAACTATCACATTTCTGAAATAAAATTCATCCAATATATTGTTTTTAGTACTTCCTATAGTATCAATTGCCAAATTTGGTAACTAAACAAAAATGTTAGAAAAGTTACATGAAAAACTAATTTGTTAATGTAGTTTGGTGCAAAACTCATTTTGAAGAAATTTATGGCTGTGGACCTTAACTGAATGAATTGAATAATTGAATACTTCAGAC